ATTTCATACATCGCTACCTGCCCTATTTTGTCCGAGACTTGTTCTTAAAAGGATTTTTCATCAACCCCAAGCTGCCCCGAGCATTGCGGCAAGAGCACCACAACGACGCGAAGGCCTGACCTCGGCCCGCATGCGGTCGCGGGGCAGGAGCGAGCCTTCTCCCGGGATTTCCAGGCACGCAAGCGTGCGCAGCCATCGGCATTGCCCTCCTGCACTGCGGGGGAACAATCAGCACTAGATGTGAAAAACCAAATTGCTTTCCAAAATCAGGCAGATCTATTTTCTATTGTGCGAGAATCAACATTTTCTAAAGACCTTGTTTTTGTATTTTTTCTAACCGTGCATCCTCCAAGGGGGCCGCCCCTGCCTGACTCAACGGCTCTGCACCACAGGCTGGGATGTACCTCAGGCGTTTCTCAGCTACCCGACATCTTCCTTGCTGCTGTGGGAGCTCCAAGCGTTTGTCTCCATCACCTCTTGGCTAGGTCAGGCCCAGGATCCTGCGGCCACTGCTGCATCAGCCCTCACCTCCCTGCTGTTCATTACACACTCCACGTGCTCCCGGCGAGCGCAGGGGCCGAGGCCAGGCTGCAGAGCCCTTCACGAGATAAACTACATGATTGTCACTTTTTAAATAAATCTCTTCTTGATATGCCACTGGGCTCCGGCAGTCTCCTTCTGCAGCGCTTGGTCAGGGATGCCCGGCCTGCTCACTGCCGTCCAGCTGGAGGAGCAGCGAGGGCTACAGCTCCTGGGCACCCACCGGCTCAGCACCCAGCTGCACCCACAGACCAGGCACCACACACAGCTTGGGCTGGAGTGCAAACGCCCAGGGCCCCCAGTGGGGGGCAAGACCTCCCTGCCTGTGGTAGAAGCAAGAGGCCCAAGTCATACCAATAACTACTGTGGGTAAGAGGCTCCGTGTCAGACACAGGCTCCTCCTGGAGACGGGGGAACAGGCCCCCAAGTAAGCAGGGAGAGCGGAGTGCAATAGGCAGGTATTTATTGGTGTAGAGAGGGGGGGTCATGGCATAACAAACACTGCAGAGGTGACCACAGCACAAGCTGGGACAGAGCCACTCTCCATCCATCCCTCCCAGCAGCAGCACCAAGCATGCGTTTCCCACCAGCAAGGTTTCCCCACTGCCACACCAGCCCGGGACATCTCCCGGATCTCAAGTGCCAGGGGGAGCTGGCAGCCAGGAGCAGGGCTGCCACGCCATGCCCAGGGCTTGGCTCCCACCCCCTAACCACAGACAAGCAGGGCCTGCCCAGGGCTTGGCTCCCACCCCCTAACCAGAGCGTGGGACATTTCTGCCACTGGCCCCTCTCTGTACTCATCCAGGTGACAATGTGGAGCCTGATCTGAGGGCTGCCCTGCCCAACAGCCAGCTGTGTCCGTACAGCTGCACAGCCGTGCCAGTCCAGATGCCCTGCGCAGGGGAGGATGCTGCACCAGCCTGGATGTCCGCACCACTTGGGGGTGCAGGGGTCCAGCACCATCCACAGAGCCAAGAGGAGCCCCGACTCTTGGATGGTTGTGGGTTTTCAGGGGAGGAAGGAGCTCAGCCAGCTTACGGAGCCCTTTCAAGCTGCAGGGCAGGGGGGAGGCTGATGAGATTCGCTTCTGAGGACATGGCAAAGCTGCACTAGTGCAAATGGTGCTGGCGCTCTGGCTCTGCCCTGGCGTTCCCAGTCCTGGCCAGGGCTGCCCAGTCTCTCCCAGGTCAGGGTTAGCTACAGGAGGATGCAGGGATTGCACAGCAGCATTGGCTACGCTACAACTCACACTCAAACTAAACCTCACAGGAACAACACTGACTAGGAGGCGCGCAGAGCGCTGACAGAGAGGAGCCCTGGCCACGGCAGACCCGATGTGTTCCTCTGTGGCAGTGGGAACCTCTCGGAGGCAGCGGGAACCTCTCGGAGGCAGCAATCCCCCAGCTGGTGCTTGCTCTATGAGCGTAAGCGCATACAGTGGATTAGTACAGTAACATGGGGACTATTAGACACACAACAGGAGGTGTCCCTCCTGCTACACAGGGCCAAGCCTGTGCCACTGGTCCCTCCGGGACCCCTCACAGCACACAACTCAAACTTCAGCTTGTGAATAATTTAACTAGCAACTGTACAGTTTCCTCATCTGAGCCAGTTCCACAGATGGGACATCCCTGGAGTCTGGGCAAGGGATAATTCGGGGAGTTAGACAGGGGTCCCTCCGGACTCCAGGGGCGGGAGGGTCAGACAGGAGCAGAGTGGGGTTAGAAGATGGGAATGTAGTTGTCGATCTTGGTCCTGTGCCGCTGAGCGATGCACTCTGCGATCCACACAATGTTACGGCACTCCTGCTCCTTCAGCTTTACGAAGGCGTAGAAGACTCCAAAGTGGAATTGGTTGAGGAAGGCCAGCTTGTTCAACTTCACCTGGGGAAAGCCCAGAGGAAGATGTGTCACTTGTCCACCTCAGATGGGAGGATCTGGCCAAGGCAAGGCCTGGAGCAGCTTGGGAGGTCTCATGACTTCCCCAGCAGGCTGGAGGGCTCAGCACAGGCATCTTGCTCTGCGCCTCTCTAGGTCCTCGGGGCAGCTCTAACCTACAGCACACGGCTCAGGACAGGCTCTGACATTTGAAAATCCTCTTTTCCCACATAATTACACTCTGGTTTTGTTATCGATGCACCAAATACCCACCAGCAGCCCCAAACTTGCCTCCCACACTGCTCTAATCTGTCTGGGTGAGAACATGGACTGAGAACCATGCTGGGCCCCCACTCCCTTGCTGAAGCAGCGGGCTAGCGTCCTTTTCCTTCCCCCAAGCTCTGTTCATCCACAGCACTGCTGACAGCGCAGCAGACAAGCTTGCCGCTACCCTGAGCTTTGCAAATGACACAGGTAAGCACGTGCTGAGAAGTGTCTCAGGGCTCACTCACCTCATGCTCAAAGAACCTGTCTTCAAGAGTCTTGTCTCCAGGGTTGCTGCCAGCCCCTTCAAACAGCAGCTTGTACTCCTGCAGGAAGACATTAGAAGAGGGTATACCCAAACCCCAAAGCCCTCCAAGTTCAGCAGCGCTCTTAGGCCACGTACATCAAACAGACACCCCAGCCACCACAGCAGGTCAGCAGAAGACACGGAGAATCCAAGAGCCTGCCCTGTGCACACGGAACAATGGCAACAGGATGCTGCCAAGGCTGCGCTGCATGCACGCCAGCTGAAGGCAATCCCCAGAGAGGCAAAGAAAGCCTTTATTTCATCTGTGAGCTTGTCCAGCCAGAGATCCTACCCCTTCTCTGAAACGTGCGGTGCTCAAAGCCATATCATCGCTTTGAGTCTGCAGGGAGGATGCATCAGGTACAGATGCCTCCACATACAGACCAGAGTGTCTGGGCCAGGCCCCTGTGCCCAAAAACACTAGCACGTGCCCTGGCTGCTTTAGCAAGGGAACACTGAGTGCTCTGACTCCAAACAGGTCCCCAGCCATGCACAAGAGCGGCTTAAGGAAACCAGACACATCCAAACGCGTGCTCCCAGGTCAGTGTCTCCCCTGCGACTGAACCAGAGCTCAGAGCGAACCCCTAGGCCTGGAGATGCAGCACACTACTTCTCACTGAAGACACATTTCCACCCCCAACCACCCAAAGAGAAACCGTCGGTGCTGCCACACCAACACCCCAAGGGTTTGGTGGCGAGGGCAGTCCCCACACCCTGGGATGGGGTGCACAGGGCACACTTGGTCTCCCTATCACCACTGCTATGGCAGCCATGACTTAACAAGCCAAAAGCATCCCAGGCGAGCCAACTCCACCTTGGCCAAGCAGAGCACAAGACCAACAGTAGCAGCAAAAGATAGCTCTCCCCAGGCTGTCAATCCACAAGTTCCCCCAGATCCCCAAGAAGCCCTGACCCAGAGCAGGTCCTTGCACCAGCCCTCACCCCGAAGCACTCACAGGGTAGTAGTCAGCAACATTTTTGACTTGTTCGTAGTCATCTGCTCTGGCCAGCTGAGCCAGGCCCTCAGGGTAGAGTTTGCCACAGTGTGGGAACAGCTTTGCGCGGTCCTCCTTGGACAGCTCAGTCCCAAATGAGTTAATGGTGATAATGAAGGCCCTCCGGTCAGCTTCGAACTGTGGGAGAAGAGCGTTTCACCTTGGGATGCAGCATCTTTGCCAGAGGCCAGCAGATACCGACGCTGCTCTGAACAGAGCCGTATCAGAGGGCAGCATGAGCAGGCTGCCTGGGACGCGCACAGGCTACTGGTGCAGGCTCCCAGTATGCCCAGTAGCTGACGCCTAGGGAGCAGTCAGGTGAGGAAGTTCCCACCCCAGGCATAAATCAGAACCCTGCCAAGGTCCTGGAGTCTCTCTTACCCACTGCCCCTGAGCCCTGCACATCCCACAGCCAGCCTTGGCATGGAGACGGGCCATGCTCTGAACAGCTCTGATTGTTCTCCAGCTCGTTGTCCATGCGAGAGGATGGAAATGTTGCCATGAAGGCAACAGATGTGTCAGCATCTGGCAAGATCAGGACTAGGGAACCCAACCTGTCCAAAGTCATGCGCAGGCAGTGTTTTCCTAGGTCTCCCAGTGAGCAGAGTGTGCAGGGATACTGAAGAATATCTTGAGCATCCTTAACGTTGGCAGACAGGCTGGGCCCGAGCAAGGAATATCACAGCAATACCATCCAGCTACAGGGGTTTCCAGACCTACCTCCAGGATCGGGCACATTGCATCTGCTGTGGTACCTCCCAGCACCTTGCAGAACTTGTAGAAGGACTCCAGGTAAGCCTGGAAGAGAGACGGCAGATGAGCACTCTTCATCTACTGCCCCGCAGGGCCGTTCAGTAGGGGACAAACGGCAGGCAGGGATGCTCCAAACACTTTATAACACAGCACAGGCACTCTCATCCCACGTGAACTTGGCTGCCAAGCACACATGAGGGACAGTGCTTCCCCCAGGAGCTGGAGGCACGAAGGGTTGTGGTTGGGTTTGTTCAAGCGACTGCATGAGTTTACTGCAGGCAGGATCCCCAGGCAACAAGGTTAAAGTCTATTTTGCTCCTTTGAGGCGTCTAACTCCAAAGCATTTACTGAAGTCTCACATGGTTTCCTGACCCCGCTCTGGCCTCCACAAACATGCCAAGCCACACAACTATAGCTGCAAGACCTACGCTCAGAAAGTACCGCTGTGTAAGCAGAGTCAAGAGATGAGACAGGACATCTGTGAAGGAAACTAGCCATCCTCTGTAATTCTCTTTTTGCACTGCAGCCGCTTGGTCTCCATCCCAACGGGAGCACTGCAGAAAACATATAAGGCTAGGCACAGCTACGCTGCCTCCAGGAAACATAATCCTTTGCAGAGATGTACCGTAATCCAGCTGGAAGATGACTGTATCTCCCAAGGGGAGCCCATGAAGGCAGTGCATGGCTAAAAGTGCTGTTCAGCAAAAACTCTCTCAGAAGGAGCCATCATGTGATAAAATACCTCCCTAGACAGAAAGCTGCAACCGGAATCACTTAAAAGGGACGGAATACAATGATCCTGAGACATCACAAATCTCTGCTTTGTCACAACAGCTCCAGGACTGAAGATGGACCAAGAATGCACGTGTTGGACACCCTCAGCCTCTGCACTAGGAAAGCACCTGGATTACTGTGTTCTGCAAGTATTTGTTACCACACACAGTGCAAGAGGATGCTGCTGGGTGAGCATCACACATCAAAGAAACAAACTCGCCACTGCTCAAGTACAGGAGAGCACAGAGCATCAGTCTGCAGAGCTACACAGGAACAAGGCCATGGATAACGGACTTTGCTTGAGGTTGACAGAAGAGGGAACCCGGGTGAGAGGTTCAGTGACTGCCCTTCCCAGAGCTCACACACAAACTTAAGGCTTTAGAAGCAAAAGTAGGTGAACTCAAATATCCAGCACCGAGTGAGGATCCGGCATCACAGGCACCATGGAAGCACAGGCTGTAAAACAGCCGCACTGGGTACCCTCCCCTGTGGACCCCTCCGGAGGTGACGGCAATTTACAGAAACTCTCCAGTGTCCTGAAACCTTCACCCCAGAAATTGTAATCACTTTGCATTTAATAATCCTTAATGGACTTTTACTTCCATGAACCCACTCATTCTGCCTCCTGCTAGCCTCATTCGTCCATCACACCCAGCCTGAAGGGAGACCTGTGGCCTGTCCATCCACGCTGACTTCTCCAACACTTCCTGCGGTTACCACCACAGCTCCAATTCACTCCTCTTCCAGGTGAGGAATGCCAACTGGTTTTGTAGTTTCTCATACAGAAGTCATTGTACCCAAACCTTTAAACGTGTCCTCCTTAGCAACTTCTGCTGTTCATATTCAGAGAGGAGAGGAACGAGACAGAGTTCAGGACAAACGCACTACAGATGAACACAGAAGCACTTGCTTAGGTCAATCATAACCCAAGATTTCATTTAGTAGTAGAAAGGAACAAGGAGAGCCTCACTGTACAAGCAGAGTTAGGATGACCTCCTTGCCTCTCCCATACATCACTCCACATTTATCCACATTGATTGGCCTGCTATATTTTATTGTCCAGTCACAAAGCTCCTTCAGCTGGTTCCTACAAGAAGGCCGCCAAAGGCCAACAGTCAGCCAGCTTCACTTCAACATATCCATTTAGGACACGGAAAAAAGGGAGCAAACGTTGAAGATGATAATGCCGGCATGCTTCTGTTGCGGGACTCTGCTACTGACCACCCTCTATACTAAAAGTTGACTGCTTACTTTTAACCTCTGCTCCCCATCTTACCCATATTTCAATTTGAGAACCTTCTCACTTGTCATGGCTAACATGAAACCTCTGCAATTACTCTCCTCCTATGAATCCTGTTCAAACCTTCTGTCTACATGCTCGCAGATTCCTTCAAAAAAAACTCCAGTAGGCCTGGGAGGTGGTGCTTCCCCTTCCCATGCCAACTCCCCCTGGACACAGGCATCTGCCTGCTCTGTTCCTCTGAGCAGCTCTGTGCAGATTTTAAGACCTGGTTTTATTTCCCTCATTTGCCTATGAAGACCATTTGCACTGTATTACACATTTTCCAGTCCTTGGGGGAGAGAGGTGGCTTCAAGTGAGAGTCTGGCAGCAGCGGTTACCTTTTCCACCCTTGCATCCCTGTGATTTGTTACTGACAGAGCCCCTGGGCTCCGCTGGGGCTGCTCTTTATCAAGAACCAGTCCCAGCACACACCAAGGGGTGCCAGGCATCCACATGTCAATCTGGAGGTAGAAAGAGCAGAACGCAAAGCAGCATCCATCCTCAAAAAGGAGATGGGAAAGGATGTGGCAGCTGGGACCAAAGGAGACAGCACCCCCCAATCCACTCCCCGCTGTGCTTACTCTGCTCCCTGCCTCATCTCAGAGGTCTGCACCCTGCAAGGGTGCAGGTATTTATGCGTACAGGCATACCTCCCCCCGTTACAGCAAAAGACCAGTACATGCCAGAGGCCACAAGCGGCTCCTTCTCCCCTCCCTTTGCCTTCTTTCCTTCACGCCTGACCTGTTCTCTGCCTCACCAAACGGGCCACAGCTTCCTTAGGAAGCAGAGGTCATGCTGACTCCAGGCTGGCTGTGACCAGCCAAAACAAGGTTGGCAGATATAATCTGCATCCCACCCTTAATCCGGAGAGCTGAGATGGAGCGATAGCCACAGCCTGCACAAACACATGCTTTGATACCACCAGCTAAAACCAGACCGGGCCTGCAGAGGAGACAACAGCTCCCCGTGCAGGCTCAGGACAAGGAGATCCTTAGCCCCTCCACATCCCTGTGCCAATACTGTCCCCAGCCTGCAGGATTCCTCCACCCCAGCTGCACCTTTTACACTGCTCTACCAAGAGCACCTAACTCCAACCACAGCCACTGAAGGCTTGAGCAGACTGTTGGAAGCTCTTCTGAAAGAGCTCGAGAAAGAGAGCCAAGCCCATGGAAGCCCTTCAACCAAGTTTAGGATCAAGCCGCTTTAGCCCTTTGCATGCAGTTAACTACACATCTAAACTCGTGTGGTTAAGGAACAGCCTGCCTGGGGCCTGAGGAAATTTATTCAAAGGCAGAAGCTCTAAAAAAAAAAAAAAACAACCAATCTCTTGCACAGACTCTTGACAGCCTGACAGCTCCAAAAAAAAAGTCACTCTGCCTAGCTCTGGTACCCTAACTCTGCAGAGCTGGGTGACTGGACGTCAGGCCCCTCCAAGAGCTCTATCTTTACTTTCCAGCAGATGCAACTAGTTCTTGGTCATGCTCACTCTGTCACCACTCCAGGGAAGAAAATGGAGAGAAAGCAAATTTACTTTTAAATCTACTCTAAGAGGAAAATATCCTCTCCCCTTTGGTTGAAGAAAGCCAGCTCCAGACCCAAGACAGAGCTTTAGTCATGCTAGGAATAAAAGAGGGCAGTTAACATCTGTTTCCCTTCCCAGAGACTCATTTACCTTATACAGTGTGTTTCGAATGATTTCGATGTTCATTTCATCCAGGTCCTGTTCAGATATGCAGTCTTGGAAGAAAGCAGCTGAAACAGAGCCACAGACAGAGTTAGCGTTGCCCTAACCAGGCCCATGCCTGGCACTTTCCAGACTCCTCAACAATACCAGACAGAAGCACACCCTATGCTGAGCTCGTCCCTCCTAGGCCTGGCCCTTATCTTCAGCAGCCACCAAACTGCCATGACTCAAAACCTCAGGCTCCACCATGGTTCCCCAGGCCACAATCATTTTTGGGGCTCTCACACCAGCCTATTCTCAGCAGAAATTCTCAGCTCTAGTCCCCATCATCAGTGCCAGAGCACCCTGTATTTAAAAATAAGCAAAACCCAAACTGTTCCCAGATGCAGGCACTCAGAGGTGACAAGACAGCTTCCAAATTGCCTGCTACAGCATGGCAGCAGTGCTTAAACATCTGCGAGACAGCAGGTAGTGAGTCCTGAGGAAGCCGGTGCTGCGCTTCTCCCTCATCCTCCAAAGCGTAGTTGGATTAAGGAGGCATGGGGATGCCACAGCTCCTGCAGCCTGTGACACTCCAGGGTTGGAGCCAGGAGCTGTTTCCCTTGGTTAGGTCTATCAGTCCCATTTTCCACTTCTTCCAAGGCCTTTTATTTCTCCAGCTGGAGGTAAGCAACAGGAGACAGGATGAACTCGTGTATTTTGGTAGGAAACTCGGCCTTACATATTTTGCTAGAGTATCTCTGGGAGGGAGTTTGAGAATTTGTTGCCACCTAAAGAACACAGAGAGGTTTCAGACCTAACACACAGTATTGCAAGCTGCGGATAAAGGTAAGTCTAGTGCAACATAAGGCTCTTGTACCACTCGCTTGTTAGCAAGAGCACAATAAAACCCATTGACAGGGCTTTTATGACTTCTTCAACTCTCACACAGCAACCAACTTTGCTGAATTTGCTACATAAAGAAACATGATCTTCCTCAGCTTACGCAGTCCAGCTGCGGGTAAAGCACACTGCACTCACACTGAGAACTGACCGGTGCTCCGCTCTGTGTGGCAAACCAGGTACGATGCAGGTTCATACCTCTGGCGGGTACCACTTTTATAGCATGAGCTCCTTGGCACAGAGAGCAGCCACACCACGGGTTTAGAGAGTCCTGAACAGGGGTTAACCCCTGCAGAGGTTTCTTTGCGACAGTATCAGAGACCAATGCCACGTAGCTGGAGGAGCACTGCTCCCTGTGGCTGGCAAAAATGAAAACAGAGTGTGCCAGGACTGGTTTTCATTGCAGGACTCGCTGGCTAGCCTGGATAGCTAAGCAGTGGCTACTTCAGAGTAGCAGAGGAATGAGAACACAGCTATTTCAGTTCTTGGCCCTCCAATATCCCAAATTAGGCTAACGGCAATTCTTATTTTGCCCTGCTAACCTATGAAAGCCATTTGGGGTTAGGCATTCCTACCAAGCCACGTAGCTACTCAAGTACTTTTAGTAGATAGAGCTGCTGTTTCTTTGCGTGTGGTCACTGGAAAGAGCGCAAGTTAAACAACTGGAGCCTGCGTGCCTGCTTGTTTAGGCAACACAGCTTGAAGAAACGCCACACTAGATGGTAGACAGCCTCAAGGGCACCGTCAGGGCAAAGGTCTGAAGAACTCAGCCTAGCTAGGGCAGAAACAGGCAAAGGTCACTCATCTACAAGTGCACGATCGCAAGAGGCAAAGACCCTCAAGTGGCAGCCTCATCCTCCAGAACCCCCTTGCCAGCGTAACAGGGCATTTTCACTTCATACACAGCTGGAAGTTTTAAGGTCTCTGAGAACTAATATCTTTGAAATACTTGGTTCTATCTTACTCCCAAAATTGGAAGGTTCTCGCTTACTCATGAGGAGTATTTTCTTCCCACACGTCATCCCTACAGCGGGCTCAACTCTCAGTTCTCCTGCTGTGTGATTGCCCTACCTTGCAACCCACATCTCTTGAGACATGTTTTCCCTCCTTTGCTGGGCTCTATCTGGCAAATCATTTTTCCATGACAACTACTTCACTTGCTCCATTATTACACAGAGCATTTGCAAAAGCACTTTCAGTTCCAAAACCAACTATTTCTATCAAAGACAATATGATGATCTAAAGTGTTCTTTTCTTTCTAGAAACCCCAAAAAAATGATTAATCGCCGACTCAGGCGTACCTCATTACTTTTTTGCCCACAGATGCTAACCTAGAAAATCTCCTGTGACTATGTCTCCTACTGCTGCAAAAAAACCTTCCATCTTTTCTCCAGAACCACTTCCTACACCTTTTATGTTTAAAGGACATATCTGTCCGACTGTTCATAAAACACTTGGTCTTACTGTCATGCACCTCCCGGTCAAGGCTTGTAATTGCGAGACAGTATCCCTCAGTGCAGGATCCTGCTATACAAGCAGCTTAAAAAGGCTTCTGGAGACTTTTTTTTTTTTTTGCTGTTGCTCGTTGGGGTTTTTTGGTTTGTAAAGAGCCTTCCTTGATCTAGAGCTAATTTTATCAGCCTCAGAACAGACCGGGTATGTGCAGATCTCTATGATGACCTACAAAAATTGCCTACAAGAAATCGCCCAATGGTCAAACTAAAAGTGCTGGACATTAAATGACTCATGCCAGCAGAGGACCTGAGAGCCCTTCACTAAGGAAGCAGGTGTACCATGTGTTCCATGACGATTATTAAAGAGATCACTTTGTCCAAGACCTCTCAAACTTTCTCCTTCCTCCTCAATTTCAGGTGAGGATTCCCAGAAGAGCTGGTAAATGGACATATCTAGCAGATCAGATCTAGCTACACCTGCAGTGTCGTGACAGCTCAAGGCCTGGCTCTCACAAACCAAACTGCAGCAATCTGCACTACCAGTGTGCTGGTTTGGACATTTGTTGAAGCGTACAGACAGCTAGCTGGTTCTCAGGAGGTAAACCATAGGACAGGCATAAACCTGAACTCAAGCCCAGGCACTGTATCTGTACATTACCCCTCGCTTTGTCTTCCTGGAGCACAACTTAGACTTAGTTGGACCTAGTTAGTCTGGGGGAGGAAGGGACATCTGCTCCACACACAGCTGAGAGGTATTTCGAAAGGCTCTGCTCACCCAGGGGAGTGTCCACCAGGATTGCATTGTAGAGCTCTGCAGGCGTCTGAGCAATGTTCACGGCTTCCATCTGCTCGAAACTTCCCAGAGGATGGCACTTGGGCACCAGTTCAGAGATTGAACGCTGGTGCAGGGTCCCAGTGATCAGCAGAATGACGTTGTCAATCATGTAGCTGTACCTGGAGGAACGCGAGAGGAAGCCTGTCACAATACAAATAATGTAAAAATCAGCACCAGGCACCAGGCGCGCATACATCTTCAGTCCCTGTGAACATCTCCAGAAAGATGCGCCCTTCACGTGAAGAACTAGTAAGGTGCCTCCTTAATGTCTCCCTATCATCCCAGCCTAGGAAAAGGGATAATCCCAGGCTGTGATTTATCCGCACCATCTGGGCATCTCCTACCTACTACTGAAGGGTATTAGATTGGAAGGGATTTCTGGAGGTCTCTGGCTCGATGTCCTGCTCCAAGCACAGCCAGGTCCAGCTGCACTTTGAATTATTTGCAAGGATGTGTATCTCGCAGCCTCCCTGGGGCTCTGCTTCAGCATCTGACCACACTCACAATGAAAAGTCTCTTCCCAAAAGCTGATCAGTCTCTCATCCAAACCCCAGGCACCTCCGAGAGCAGCCTGGCTCCACCTTCCCCACACCCTCCCACAAGATAGCTAGGAATATTTGTCCTTCCAGCATTCCCACTGCTCTCCTTGCATTGCACGCTTCCTGGAGAGCACGTGCAAAAGCGCGAGTGATGGGACAGCAGCAAAGGGGAATCTGCAGATAGCCTGGCTTGAGCTCAGCTTTGCTGCCAGCAGCACTGCTCCATCTTGCCAAGACTCTGGAGAAAGGGTCACGTTTCTGCAGCCCTGCTCCCTTCCAAAAAACAACAGGGCTGGCAGCTTTGGCACAGCTTTCATTCACACAAAAACACACGCAAGCTTTTTCACACCTCTGTCATCAAAAGCTACATGCTTTTTCGCATTAGTCCGTATTATGATGTCCCTAACCAAGTTCTCCGCTTGCGTTATACAGGATATGCAGATTCAGTCTTTGGCACAGCAGTAGTGGGACATTCAGTCTGTAACCATGAGCATAAGTTCCACCAACACAAGCCCTTTGTGGCCCTTCTCTCCAGTATGTCCACATTTCTCTTGCACTGAGGAGTCCAGAACTAGGCACAGCACTCCAGGTGAGGCACCCACCAGCGCCGAGGGGAAAGATCAACTCCCTGTTCTCCCAGTCCAGCCAGAGAAGGGAGACACAGTTGGCCTGAACACTAGGAATACAAGAAAGGCTAGTGGCCTTCTCCAAGTAGAAGGTCCAAGCAAGGGATTGAGACACTACATAAATACAAGTAGCTGAGAGGAAAAGTGTCCCCAGCAAGAACAGGAGTGGTGCTCTAGGCACCTTTACCACCAGCTGAGCCATAAGCCAACCAAGCTGAGAACCAGGAAAACATCACAGTTGGCCTGAACACTAGGAATACAAGAAAGGCTAGTGGCCTTCTCCAAGTAGAAGGTCCAAGCAAGGGATTGAGACACTACATAAATACAAGTAGCTGAGAGGAAAAGTGTCCCCAGCAAGAACAGGAGTGGTGCTCTAGGCACCTTTACCACCAGCTGAGCCGTAAGCCAACCAAGCTGAGAACTAGGAAAACATCAAGGGATTTTATTTTTTTTTTTTTTTTCTTTTTTTTCTCCAGTCAGCAGAAGATACCTTTGCAAATGTCCCTCAGCAGCAAACAGAAAGGGGCAGGATATTTGGAATTTTACGCTCCCTTGCTCTTGCTGCTAGAGCTCTAACTCTAAAAAGTTAGATGATAGAAAAGATCAGGCCTGAACTAGAACGGCAGAAGGAGCTGTGCACATCTGGAGTTGGTGCTCTGGGGAGCATGTACCTGAGGGCTGAAAAAAAGGGAACTTAAGGCCAGCACACTGGGACTAGGGCAAGGGCAGGGATGGCAAGGCTCTGCACGCCTTTGTCAGACAAGCGTCGGGATGCTGCATGTCCGTATATTTCTGAGCTAACAAGGAGGACACAGTGCAGCCCTGTTTCCCTCTGAACCGCATCAAAGGCGGACAAGCGGAGCCAGTTAAAGGCAGATTTCGGTCGTTTTTATTAGATGGGCTTGCTGCCTCTCAAATATGCTCAAAGGGCACGTCCAGGAACAAATCCACACCTTAGTTCCTCAAACAGGTGCTGCCTTTTTCTCCACACTGCAGGGCTTGGTAACGTACCTACCTCCTGGCCCTACTATTTTTGCAGAAAGCCCTTCTGTGTTTGCAGCCTACCTTTCCAGGGACGTTCAATCTAGAACCACAGCAATCAGCACAAGCTTCCTGCACTAGGAAACCTCCTTTTACCCTTTAATCCATGAGGTCATTATCCTGCCTTCTGTTTGTGCAACTCTCACCATGGCGATGATTGCAATCTCCAGGACAGCAAGAAGGGCCTGTTTATGAGAACTGAGGGGAAGTCCCTTGCAGTAAGCAGCTGGTTCCCAGTAAATACAAGCATCTGCAGATGCATCTCCATGAGGTGTGCCAGACCAAGGATACAGCAGATCCATTTCCCAGCTCCACCATCTGACCTCAAACGTGCAAGTTCGCTTAGTGCGACAGTAGCTTTCAGGAAAGACCATAGGCAGGACTACTCTCATCAAAGCAAGGCAACGACATAGGACCAGACTAAATTTGTTTCAACTCGGCCTACAGCAAAGGAACAGGCAAGGAAATAGTCATTGTACGATACGCTAGCACACCTCTTTCCCATTCCCAGCTTACCACGGATCTCGCTGTCTACAAGATATTTGCAGCTTGCAAGGAGCCTGGCCAAAGTCAACCATACAAGAGGAACCAAGGGAAACTGCCTGGAGCCCTTTCTCTTTGCAGGTCTTCAAAGCAGCTTAGCTCCTGGCTTACTGGAGTCACACTGAGCTCATCCATGTCTTCTCAGTCCAGCTCAGCGTGAAAGCCACAGCAAGGTTTGGGGAGAGCAGCCCAAATCTGTCCCTCTTCACACATGAGAAGCTCCTGCTTTCAGACTGATGGTCCCAGGAAAGACAACCCAGCTGGCTTCTGCTGCTGCCAGAGTGCATAGCATGGCATTTCGTTTATACCTCTTAACTTGCTTGTTTCCTCATCCTTCAAGGAAGTCTGGGGAAATGCAGTCTACGGACCAAATGCCAAGGTCTCTAAGGAGGCCCAGCAGCAAGTTTTTGAAAGAGTACCTATTGAGACTACTTAAATCTCGCTGTCAGAGAAGGATTAATCCCTGCAGGAAGAGGAGTTACCATGCACAAGACAGAGGGGAAATTTCTCATTCAAATTTCCACTGCGACAGCATTGCAAACCTTTTACGATAACAAGAGAACTGCAGCAGGACAAAGATCTTCTTGTGCCTGCCAAGGCCAGGCAGACACCAGCACCACTACCTAGTCCTTCCTGATACTTCCCGTTTCCTTCAAGCGAGCCCAGACCACATGTATTCACAGTCAGTCGCTGCTCGATCCCAGCAAAAGCAGCCACAGCTCAGTCAATCACGACTACGAGGCAAGTCTTCTCGTGCCAGGGCAGCTGGAAAAGCCTCCTCTCATCTGTGGAAGGGGCAACACTTGCCTTCCTGTGCCAGGTCCCAACGAGAACACATCTGCCTCCATTAGCACAGCTGTACTAAGACCATAGCAGAGGTGCTGGCTACACTGACATTTCCTCCCAGGCCCAAAGGATTAGATTTATTATGGTGGCAGCAGTTTTCCTAGGAGCTTCCAACTACTTGTTTAATAGAGCAGCTTTTGTCATCTCATCCTCCCCATCTCCTTTTGGGTTCTTACCAGCTTCAAAGGTTTCAGCTTTCATGGTTAATGCAAGCTCATACCCCTGCACAAGCATTTGAACCTTCACTAGCTCTCAGTGCAGCTAGTTAAGAGGAACAGACTATCGGACATGTCGGAAAACAGAAGTAGTTGGTCACCTGCAACACCGTGAAGTCTTATTGCAGTCTGCTTGGCATGGAAAAGAGATTAAGACATAGGATGGTCTGGTGGGAGATTGGTAGAAGGACCAACAAGCTCCTTGGTGAGGACAACCCCCTGCAGTAGGCCACTGGGAACACTCAGTAGAGGCTCAGAGGAGAAAGCACTACACGGAGGCTCTATATAAGCTAAAGCCAGTGACATGGGGTGGAAGGGCTTTATTTAAGCAGTAGAATGGCACCGCATCTCAAGCCCCCAACCTTGCCTCCATAAAGACTGTAGCAAAACTCTTGGGCAAAAACATGTTTTCACTTCTGCTTTGAGCTGCTATCTGCTCACGCAGGGAGATGGACATGAAAAGAGTGGATGTTCAGCCAGCGTTTCAACGTGCACAGTTACGCCCTGCCTCGCTCTTCCTGTTACCCACTGACTTGAGGTGTGGTATATTCCAGAAATTCACATTCACAGAAATACAATTTTAGCTGATACTGAGAAGCGTCAGTAGCATCTCACACGAGAGTAGAATTTCTTATTAAAGGACAGGAAAGAGTCAGCAAGCACAGAAATACCATCCACAGCATAAGAGCAATGATGGTTTACGGCTTCCTGAAGTCCGGGACAACCAGAACCAGTATCTTCGCTCCTCCAGCAACACTCAGTTCAGCACAATCCACATAGGGTGACACTCACATAAAGAGAACAGAGCCAGGCTAGAATACGCCTAGAGAAGCTAAAAGGTGTGCTTGGGGAGTAAAATGTTCCTTCTAGCAGCAGCAGGTCACAGAGATCACTCTCACTGCTGGTTTTGGGAGGTATGGTCTCAGACAGGCACAGCAGAGACCTCTCAGAAAACAGGAGAGCCAGGCCCCAGAAGCTAACTTCTGGGATAGTCATCTGTGGATAGCTATCAAGCAGAATCAAGGAGGAGAACACACATGCAAGAGCCATGTACGCTATGGCTACATCGTCCTCCTTTTGGAGTTATTTAAGTACAGCCACAGATAAACAAGACACACAAGAAAGATTGCAATGGCCTGGTGAATATCAGGAAAGGCTTTTTAGCAGGGGAGCACATAAAATGCATGTAAGCTCATCACATGGGGCATTTACAACTTGGCCTGAAGGCACAGCCCTGCAAGGCATCGACCCCAAGACAGTTAGGGCTTCTCCCTCCCCCACTTACTAATCTAATCTAATCATAAAGAGT